CTTTGATTTTTACGTGTTGACCCTTCACGTAAGGCACTTCCAGAGGCTACGCTTGGGGCTGGATGCGTGCGGTCAGGAGGAGGCAGCCTCACTGACCACCAGTGAGCAGCGGGCAGGCCCCAGGGAGGACCGGGCGGCGAGGCGGGCGTGTGTCGTCACTTGCTCCCGCGTTAGGTTGTTTCTAGGACGCTCAGGCCTTTTCCTCTGCTCTTCCTGACGTTTCACCCCCATGTCCGCTGTGCAGATCTGGGGGAGCTCAGCCAGAATTTGGGGAAGCAGGACAGCTGGCAGCTTTCTGAGGGGTGCTGGGCACGTGCCTGTGACGATCGAGTCGTCCGCAGACGTCACGCAGGGCTGGGAGTGCTCGCTGTGCTCAGAGGTCTGGGTTCAGGGCAGCCGCCGGGAGGCAGCGCCGGCCGAGGGGCTGGGACACGTTGTGTTCTGTGGGTCCCCAGAAGACCTGGGGGCTGGACGTGTGGACTTCGGCCCACAGCCCCCACGCCTCCCACGGCTGCCTCTGCGTGGGCGGACATGTGCCAGATGTGGCCGCCTGTGACCGGGCGGTGCAGCTCTGGCAGGAGGGCGCGTACCGGGTTTTCCTGGGGACACGGTAGAAAGCGCTGTTAGCGTGAGCCATGTCAGAAAATGTTTCCTGGAAGCAGACGTGAGGAGGCTGCAGAGGAGAGGGACCCTGAGGGCAGGTCCCCAGAGCCACTGGCCCCAGGTCGAGGTTCCTGTCTCCCACCTTAGTTTCCCGGTGTGTGGATTTGCCCTGGAGCTGCCAGGCCGGGAGGGGTAGCGCAGCCTCGGCCGTGACTCTCCGAGGGCTGGGCTCCAACGCCCCCGGTGTCCCGTGCTGGGCGGACTGCCGGAGCGATGGTGGTGGCAGCCCCCAGGATGGGACAGCCCCAAGGAAGAGCAGAGCTGTGCCGGCAACATGCAGAGTGACTGTGGCCGTGGGGTTGGGGTGTGCTGTGATTGCCGCTGCGTGCTGCGGTCCTGGGTCGCTGTGGATGCCGCCTGGCTCCCCGCTCTACCCCGCCCGCCGTGTCAGAGTGCCTGCCGGTTCTCAGACCCCACTCTCATGCTAAGCAGCCTCCCTTCAGAGAAGAGGGACGTGGGGCCTGCCCTAAGGTCGCAGCGAAGCCGGCAGACTTCATGACGGCAACCCGGCATCGACATGCCCGTGAAGACGCCGTCTTCGCATACTAGAAGCATCCGTTTCAGAACATCCCCACGGCAGCGTGGCTGGTGACAGAGCCGGAGCGTGCATGCCCAGTGGCTGCTGTGGACTTTCCTGGGGCTTTGGGGACTTGTTTTGTAAACAGAAACCTCTCTCATTTGACTGTGACCATAAGCACAATTACATTCCTAATTTAAGAGAAGTCATGAAAGTGAGATCGAAGGGCTGCACCTGTAGTCCCCTGGCCGCCCCGTCACTGTGGGAGAGAGCAGGGACCCGGGCTTGGAGCAGAGCACCTGGCCCCCCGGACCAGGACACCCTCCCCAAAGCTGCTCTAGCCCTGGCCCACACTGCCTGCCCGAGCCCAGAGAGCCAACACGGCTGCCCCTCAGCAGCGACCTGAGCTTGGGTGGAAGGCAGTGCGGGGTGCAGGTGGGAATGGGGTGCAGGCTGGATGGGGAGTGGGCTTAGAGGGGTGCAGGCTGGATGGGGAGCAGGCTTAGAGGAGTGCAGGCTGAGTGGGGAGCAGGCTTAGAGGGGTGCAGGCTGGGTGGGGAGCAGGCTGAGTGGGGAGCAGGCTGAGTGGGGTGCAGGCTGAGTGGGGTGCAGGCTGAGTGGGGTGCAGGCTGAGTGGGGTGCAGGCTGAGTGGGGTGCAGGCTGAGTGGGGTGCAGGCTGAGTGGGGTGCAGGCTGAGCGGGGTGCAGGCTGAGCGGGGTGCAGGCTGAGTGGGGTGCAGGCTGGGGGGGGTGGAGGCTGAGTGGGGTGCAGGCTGAGTGGGGTGCAGGCTGAGTGGGGTGCAGGCTGAGTGGGGTGCAGGCTGAGTGGGGTGCAGGCTGAGTGGGGTGCAGGCTGAGTGGGGTGCAGGCTGAGTGGGGTGCAGGCTGAGTGGGGTGCAGGCTGAGTGGGGTGCAGGCTGAGTGGGGTGCAGGCTGAGTGGGGTGCAGGCTGAGTGGGGTGCAGGCTGAGTGGGGTGCAGGCTGAGTGGGGTGCAGGCTGAGTGGGGTGCAGGCTGAGTGGGGTGCAGGCTGAGTGGGGTGCAGGCTGAGTGGGGTGCAGGCTGAGTGGGATGCAGGCTGAGTGGGGTGCAGGCTGAGTGGGATGTAGGCTGAGTGGGATGTAGGCTGAGTGGGGTGCAGGCTGAGCGGGGTGCAGGCTGAGTGGGGTGCAGGCTGAGTGGGATGCAGGCTGAGCGGGGTGCAGGCTGAGCGGGGTGCAGGCTGGGTAGGGTGCAGGCTGAGCGGGGTGCAGGCTGAGTGGGGTGCAGGCTGAGTGGG